TTGAAGCAGAGAAAACACATTTAAGGGGGAAACAGAGAACCACCAGATAAAAGGAAACAATATGGCAAATAACACCATTGAAAACATAATTGTAATAATTTAATAAAGCTGTTTTATCATCTTCATAAAATAGACAGTGGTGATTCTATTTTGTTTTTTTTTTCTTTTTTACAATGGTCAGTCACTGCAAAAATGTACATAACATACAGTTCAGCATATACAACAATTTCATCTTCATATAATCAGCAACAGAAACTGCTTAATGAGACATACTCTACTTGCATCCCTCCAAATTCCCACCCTGGTTTGACAGGTAAACAGTAATAGTGTCATCAGGCTCATTCCCCACACTAGAGGAGCGAAGGCGTAAGCCTTTTGCAACTAATACGTTAGCATTCAAATAGCATATGGAGGTATTTGCTGCTGAATTTCTAGCTTAAGCTAGTCTGGCTCTTGGTCATTCAAGTCTGTATCCTAGCCTTCCTCAGCTGAATGCCAGCCGGTGCAAGTGAAAATCTACTTAACCAGTGCTGCAATGGTGTTAGCTGATTTGTTTGCTAAAGTTAACAGCAACTTTCAGTTAGTAGCAAGGTTAGTTTTAATTGCTAACACAGCTGGAGCAACAATCAACATAATCAGTTGCCCCTAATGACCTACAGTGCTTTCCAATCAAGATCAGATTTTCGTGGGTTGTTCTTTACCAAGAGCACCTCACAATGTGTTTCAACCACAAGGTGGTTGATTTTCTTTGTTTTACAAAAGCAATATGAGTTCTATTTGAAATCAATTCATGTTTGCACAACAAGTGACCCACAGGCCAATTCCAGCCTCACAAGAAAACAAAGAAAGCTGTAACAACTTCATTAGGACTATGTGTTTTGCTCTGGAATATTTAATTATCAATACAAAGCCACCCAGTCCCACCCCCACACATCCCCTTTGAATATTACTTTGTTACATACTTAAACAAAAGAACATTTCAATACACTTCAGTGTCAGCAGATACAATTTGACTCATGAAATGACACCCTTAAATGTAATTTTACCAGAAGGCAAACACTAAGACTGTATACAATGGATTTCTTGAGCTCATTTATGCCAGTTTTTTAAAGTCAGTTAGGGTCTTATCACCCTGGGTAAAGAGCCAAGTGGACCAGACTTGTCAAGATGCTTTGGGTAACATTTGACATCAAAATAATCTCCATAAAGGAATTGGAATTCCAGTCAGAAATACTTTTATGTACAATAATGATCATTTCCTCATCCTGGATGCCCAAACTATCCCCTATACCTGCCTCTCGCAAAACTGCCCTTTGTCCTTGTTGCTTCAAATGGACCACTTTTGCTTTGCTTATTAATGATATGACAGAGCTATATGAAAAGTTCAACCAAATTCTCTTCATACAATCAAATGTATGCTGAAGTAACACTACTGGAATGATACTATGGGTGGTTCCAGTTTTCAGTGTTCTAAGTAGTATTCCTTTAGCATTTCTGATTAGTGATCAGTGGGTTACCATGCCAATTAATTAGTTTAAATAAGCACCTTATATGTGATTAGCTCTATTAGGCAGGTTTACCCTGGAACAGTGATATTTATGGTGTGGTCCCTAGACTAGCTACATCAGCATCACCTGGCAATTTTTAAATAGGCAAAGACTCCAACCTATTCCAGATTTACTGAATCAAAAACTCTAAGTGTGGAGCCATCAACCTGTGCTTTAACAAGGCTTCAACCTTCAGTGGACATCTGATCCATATGCATTGTTAGGCCCTACCCACAGGGTCTTTGCTCAGTTGGTCTGGGTGAGAACTGAGAATGATCGTTTCTAACAAGTTCCCAAGTGATGCTGTTGCTGCTGGTCCAGGGACTACACTTTGAGAACCACTGTCCTTCGGGAACTGGAGCATCCCTTGGCCAATTACCTATTTGGGCAATAAGGGGCCACAGTTTACTCTTGGGTATAAGAAGATCAAAGGGATAGTAAGTTTCACTCTGAACGGGTTCCAAGATTTATCAGTATAAAAGAAAGGAAAAAGATTCCACATAGCATGGCTCCCCTCTTCCTATACCTTTTATATAGTATATTGCCATAGTTAAGGAAAAGCAAGCAATCATTGCAAACTAAACCCTTTATATCGCATGAAGGTTACCTGCCCAGGGACATGCCCAAAGCAGTTGTTAGTAAAGCAAGTCTGCCTCCACGCAAATTCCTCTCCAAAAGGGACATCTGAATAAATGAGACAGAACTCCCTAGGATTTAAGAACTAAAATTGATCCCTCCTATTTCATTGTGTAACACTTAGAGAGAAAAAAAGGAAGAATATTTGACCCTCTGGCCTTTGGGGCTTTTCATCATATATGTTGGAAAGAAGTGGTGAAAAATATGAGCCAAAGGTAAATTTAGGCTTCTTGCACAAAACTCCTATTTGAAGGCAGTGTGCCTATAAAACCAGATTACAGAACCATCTTAAGATGCACCAGTGCTTCTGGGGGTATGTATACATCAGACTATTGTAGGGGCAAGAGATATTTTCTTAATAAGGTAAATTCTCTGAACATGCTCAATAAAGGGTATGGAAGTCAAAAAGTCTCATGGTCCACTGAGAAAAAAGTATTTTAATAGGGAAAAAGGATTAGTCTATAGCTGGATACTGAATTCTGGGGAAAAAAATGATGGATAAAAATTACAAGAGAAAACTGAAATCAATGCCACTGCTACTCTAACAATTTTAAACTTGGCTGTTAATAGGCATAATAACCAGTGGTCTATCTGGCTCAACAGCCACGCAACATTTAATGTTCCCACTTGCCACATATTTTCAGCTCCTTTATTCCCACTCAGCATAGTAAGAAATACAGCTGTATAAAAACAGTCAAGTTTGACTTGAAAGTGACCTTGAGGTGGTAGCTAAGAACATAATATCAGGATGAATCAAGTGAAGAACAGTCTAAATTCTATAGGCAGTCATCATTTCTTAAAGTGAAAAAGAATTTGATGTGTGAATCAAATAGTCATTTGCAAACAGAAATATATAGCTAATTCAAAATCTGCTAACTACTAAAATGGAATGTATCAAAGGGGAAAAAAGAGTGTATGAGAGGAATAAAATGAGCCAAAGTAAAGATGCCATGGTAATTGATCTTCAATTGTTTCAGATTCAGAGGGAAATCTGCAGCTACACCAGTATTTTCCATGAGGTAGTATTCAGCACTGAATAAAAATTAAGGGTGAATTTGTAGCTTCATTACAGATTCTTTTGTGAAATATTCTCCCATACCTAATCTCATTCCCACTACCTTACCCATCCCTCCCTCAAAACCCTCTCCCCATAAAAGAAAATATTCATAGTAATGTCAAAAGCCAGGAACTCAGGCAAAAATAACTAAAACATTTAAAAACTGACTTACCTACCTAAACAAGAAAATAAATTCTCTTTTGCATGCTAGTGCTCTAACCTCTAAGTGTTTTTTTTTTTTTCTGGGTACTCTGGAGTTTGAAAAAAATGAAATAAATGAGAATAGAACCACAAAATTTGTTTCTTTAATAACAACTCTTTTAAGACCAAAGCAGAGAAAAGATGATCCTTCTTTTATTTTAAAATAATGAACTCAGGCTGCAAGAATACTATGCTGGCTAGTTAATATTAATAGATAGTTAATAAATTGGGGAGTTGGAGGAATGTTAAAAAATGTGCATAACAAACTTGTTAATAAAAAGGTGTATTCCTAGCTTATAGGAAAGAGTTAGCTAAATCTAAATAATTTCTACTTTAATAGTTTCCTATTCACATTTTTAATTTTTATAAAAGGATTAATCACAAAAAAGATGAGTTCAAGTGTCCAAGTGTCTCCATATAGAAGGCACAATAATTGAGTTAGAGATTCTGTTACCTGTCTTTTCCTAAAAGTAAACTTTGTACTGCTTACACTATCCCAAATTATAATCCTATGATCCAGAACAAAATGGGGTTCTCAATTCTAACCCATGACATGCTTTTTAGTATAATTCTAATTGTCATTGGGAAACACTGAATCGGGAAGTGTGTGTCTAAAGAGATAATAACTTATATCTCAAAATAGATTCAATCTTTTTGAATTTTAAATGATATGAGAAAGGGGATTTTTAAGCCTAGAAAATGATAACTGCAAGGGCAACTTTTCTGTCCACGACCTGAAAATTAGAAAAATTGATCTCCTCAAACTTTCAGCACACTATTTCTGACAATTGCAAATGAAATAGCAGAATGGATATCCAAAAATGACTTTCTGCAACAATCTATCACAGATCTAGGCAGAAGACTGAAAGGCAGGCAAAATGCTCTGCAAGGTGTAAGTAGTCACTCCATGGGTATCTTCCAAGAGCATCCACAAAGTACTCATCTATATGTGTGGTATTGCTCATTCACTTGCCATCTCAGTTGTTTGCACTTTGTTTTTGTCTATTTTTTAATTTATTTTTAAAGAAAAAAAACACCAACCTATAAATGCCTTTTGCCATCACCACACACATAGCAATTTGCAATATCAAATACAATAATAGCATAGCTAGCAAAAGGGTTCTTAAAGCAGGGGTGTCCACAGCAAAGTAGCAGCATTGGAAAGTACTCAAGCTTCAGAAACAACCTTTTAGGGGCTTGATTTCACATCAATGAATCAATGAATAGTATACAATAAATGACTATTAATTTGTCTATGCTATAAAACAGTGGTGAGCTTATTAAAAGTGTCCAGAGCCTTTTTTTAAAATTTTTAAATGTAATCCTCCACAAACAATGGTAATTTATATTATAATTTTGACATAGAAAAATATATAAATTCAAACACTTAATACATAATACTTTTCACAACTGATTTTGTCTCTGTTTCCCCAACATGAAAAACAAGGCCCCATGAACAACTCAAGCCAAAGCTAATTTGCTCCAACTGAACACCCCTGTTGAAACGAGAGGAACTGTCATACAATGATAGTAATTTATAAACAATACATTTAGGGGAAGCTCTGAAATACAGCCACTCAAGAACCAACAACTGGTGAGCAATTAAAATGATCAGCTCCTGCTTCTTCATTAGCCAGCGTGATTTCTCTCCTTCCCCAAGACTGGTTTAGAGAATGATATCCTTCACACGCTTCATGCCAGGAGACTCTTTGCTGTGACCCTCCTTCAGAATGGGGTTTACTTCATGCATGACTTTCTCGCTGTCAGCTCCACGAGGCTCAGCTTCAGAAGGACGAGAAGGGCCATTGTTGATATTGGTGCCATACTGTTCCAGGTCACAGGCAGGTGGCGCAAGGGCAATGCTGTAAGACATGGAAGGCTTGATGGGAAGAGGGCTCTGGAAGTGCAGAGGGGAGGTGACAGGGCTAATAGCTTCACAGCCATTGCCTGCTTCTCGGACAGCACTATTGACTTTGGGGCTGCAGATGGTCACATCAACAGTCCTCTTGCCTTTCAGGGTGGGCCTCTCCTCAGCTGGGTAGTCGCTGACATCTTTTCCAAAGGTTGCAAAGGTCCGCTTTGTGGGGCCACAGTCGTCATAAGCCTCAACATCAGCAGCAGTAGCTTCAATGGACAGAGCGATGATGTTCCCCACATTCTCAGGCGACTTGGAGTGTGTGGGCAGGGGGTTCCGGGGCATCCAGCACCTATCAGAGTGGCCAAGAATCCGGCATTCTTCCCTGCAGTGAAATCCTTCATTCTGATCTGTTTAGAGAAAATAAAATGTCAATTTCATCAGTTTTTCCCAGGGATCATAGATACTCCCCAGCATTCTGATTTCTTAGGCACCCACGGGTCCTTCTTAGGCACCCACAGGCACTTATAGATAGATAGTCCTTTATTGCCTTTTGAGACAAGTGTGAAGAATTGGATTTTTAAAAGGCTGTAGACCTCCCCCCATATACTCCCCTTTTTATTATTTTTGTTGCTGTTCCCAGTGCTGACAAAACTAAAAACGTAAGGGAAAACAGCTGTCAGAAGGGAAGGGGGTTGGGAAGCTGGGTGAAAAAGGTGAGGGGATTAAGCAAAAAACCCGAACAACTCATAGACACAGATAACAATATGGTAATTACCAGAGGGGAAAGGGGTGAGAGGAGGTAGAAGATGGTAAAGGGTGGGTAAATGGTGATGGAAGGAAACTTGACTTTGGGTGGTAAACAAACAATACCATGTATAGATCATGTATTACAGTATTGTATAGTTGAAACCTATATAATTTTGTTAACCAATAAATTCAATAAAAATTTTTAGAAAACACACTACAATGAAAGAGTACTATATTTAAAAAAAATTATCCTGAGGGCAAGGTACTGAAAGTCCCCATTTTTATCAACAACTCCTAATAAAAATCAACTGTATTTGAGAGTGGTTCCAGCAGAAGAGGAAGTGGAAGCAGAACAGGAAATCCAACCCCCAATATACCTGAGAAGCCTTGGCCATATTTTTGAGCAATAATACTGCCAACCACATTTCCATCCTACCTGTTAGTGATATACAGTGCTTAATTTTAGGTTAGTATCATGCTATCTTTGAAAGCCCAATCACATCATTTATTTTTGACCACCAGTCTCACCAGCCAATCTCCTCACTAACCATTTGCATATCTTAATTTTCCATCAGAATGAAACATACTGAGCCCTTTTCCTTTCATCTGGCCCATAAGTTTCATGGGTCCTACGCACACATCACTCATAGGTTGAGCATTATTTAATTATACCCAAGTAATCATCTCCCTTTATCTTCATTATCTGCAGTTTATTAAGGTCATAATTCTTAATGAAATCTTCCCTGGATTATTTTAGCCTTATGATAGATGATTTCAGCAAACAGAGTTCATAATTATTGGTGAGACATGTGTCTCTCTTTTCACATCAGGCTTCACATCAGGGTTAGGGCTTTAATTTGACTCTCAAAGAGGCTTTCTACATGGGCTTCACCAAAACATGCATCCAGAATTAAGTTCTGTCCATCCATTGGTAGAGCTATTATTCTCAAGGCCAATTTTCCAGACCCATTTATATTTATGTTATATTCTTGCATAAGGTTGACCTAATTAAAATTTTCATCATATTGCACAATGCATCAAGATACAAGTGGCTTAACATTTATAAAAAAAACATTTGGGGCAGGATCAGAGGATGTAGGAAGACAAGAAGAGATTGCACAGACAAAAAGTACATGACCCTCCAAAAGTTGGAAATCTATGCTGTGACTGTCCTTTTGCAGGAGAAAGAAGTCTACAATTTAGGGTCTTGCCTGATATCAGTCTAAATATAACACACCTTCCTTACACACTCGTATTTTTGTTGTTGTTGTTGTTTCTTGATTGTTTTCGATAACTAAATGACATATCAAAGAGGCACTGGTCTGCCTCATTCATCAAGTGTTATTTTAGTAAAGGGGCATATGGGAGCAGGCAGAAGTAATAGTTGAATTGGGTATATACTTTGTCATTAGGAGAAGAGACATTGGAAGCAGCTAAAAGTCAAGGCCTAGTCCAGGCTGAGTTCAGATTTCAACACAACTCTAGGAATGGCCCTTGGCCTAGTTTAAACTAATGAAAAGCCAACCAAATGTAAGATTTCCTCCTGGTACCTGGACACAATTTGCCAATTTATACTTAAGACGGTCATTTTAATCCCCATTTCAGTGCTGGAGAATGAAATATTCAGAACTTTGCAGCTGGAAGCAAATAACAAATGAGCATTATCACCAACAAGCTAAGTACCTTCCACATAGATAAGATAATGCTCCTGCAAACTTCAGCACAGTTCCACATCAGGGTTGCATGGTGCCTTCTGCAAAATGAAGGGTTTCTCTGCCTATTCCCTATAAACTTTCAGTGTTGCTATCTACCTGATAGCCTATCATCATCCAAAATGCATATGTTCCTGGGAGGCAAAAAGTATAAAAGTAAGGTAACATGTTGGGACAACTTAAAAAAGTAAGAAACACTTACTTTTGCATAGACCTAAACATTATTAGTGGAAGAGTCTATGGCTTGTCCACCTACAATCAGTTTCATCCAAACTTTGTGCTTTCACCAGGATGCCCCAGGATCCCCCCCAAGTAGAATGGAATTCACATTCTCAGAGTTTCTCAAAAATATGTTTTGTTTTTTTCTCTCTATCTTCTCTAAGGCCCATCTCATACATTTCTAAGTAATAGCTCTAAAGAATTAGTGTGAATGTTTATTTGGGGGTGGAAAATAAGGGGGTAAAAGTGAGGAAAGAGTTCAATATTTAACTTCTCTTTCTAAAAATCTCAGCATGTGTGGCCTGGAAGTCATCAAAAAAAAAATGTCCAGAAGGCTGTGGGATCCCTGTCCTTTTTGTCCCTAACTTAGGACACAAAGGCATAGAGGTTTTATTTAGCCTTTGAGCCCTGGAACCATAGACATGTGAGCAGCTATGAAAAAGAAATCCCAGCTGACCTTCAGACTGATATTCAGGTCACTTGCTTACACTTCTAAAGCAGAACAGTGGCAAATTACAGTCTAATAGAATCTTCTCAATGGGCTCAACATAAAACTCTCATTTGTTTTAAGGTTTTAGTATCAAATGACTGTCTTCAAATTTGGAGATTCAGGGTTTTTTCCCAACACAATTCTGTAGGAAAATGCCATCCCTGTGTTACCCAATATCCCATTACAGTGCTTTTTCCCTATGGTAGGCTGCCTCAAGTAAACAATAAGAGGAAATCTGGAGCCCCAGCACACAGAGTGAGAGCAGACATCCCAGTGGCAGACACCTCAAAGATCTTATGAATCTAGGAAGACTGGAGCAGGGAACTCAGTATTGTCAATAGCTTCTCTGCAAAGACCGTACTTGCAGCTTATGCACTGCCTTCTGTGAATGAATAAATTACTCTTTCAGAAGAGAGAAAAGTAAACTCTCTCAGCACTCCCAGGATGCAATCAGTCTAAGATTATCCACCAATCTCACTAAACCTATATTAGCATTATAGGAGTTAGAATAATATGCAATTTCCTTGGATCAATTATGTCAACTTATTATGTGTATTGCTTTTACCTCATGCAAGTGAAGATTTGAATCTAAGGGAGTCTTTCACTCACAATGTCTCAACCCTGGCTTAGATCTAATACTTTTATTTCCTTAAATCTTTACCAAGAGCAGTGAATTGCTGCTTATCATTTTTGGTATGAAACAACATTCAGTGATATTTGTGTCAATAAAGTTAAAACAAAATTTAACCACCCTGGCTGGTGTGGCTCAGTGAATTTAGTGATGGCCTATGAACCAAAAGGTCACTGGTTGGATTCTCTCTCAGGGTACATGCCTGGGTTGCAGGCCCGGTCCCTGGTTGGGGGTGTGGGAGAGGCAACCGATTGATTTCTCATGTCGATATTTCTCTCCCTATCTTTCTCCCTCCCTTCCCCTCTCCCTGAAAATAAATAAATAAAATCTTTTTTAAAAACATTAAAAAATTAAAAAATAAAATCTAACCTAGCTTTAGTGTTTATAGCCATATAAAATATGAAAGAAAACATAGCAAATATCGAAGAATGTCTTCCAAGCCCAAGGTAGCCTATATTCATAAATGCACTGAAGATAAATTACTTTTTAAAAATCAAAACTTCAGTTTAGTAAGAAAATTAAGTTTGTATTAAAAGTGAGAAAGTCACAATACAAAGCCCTTTAAGAAAAACAATGTAGACAGACCAGATATAAAAAAGCAAAGAGACTACTTCTGGAATTGAATAGGACTGGTAGAGACTATGTGTCTGCCATCATATAGTACAGTGACTGGGGATAGGATGTGAGACTAGAGAGGGACCATTTTCTATTATCACAAATTAACTGTAAGGATGTTGGCTCCACTTAAAACACAAGTAAGCTAACAATTCACTAATTTCCTGCTAAGAGCCTTACTCCTATGAGCCTTTTTGTGATTCTATACCTTTCTATATCTTTCTCTAAAAGTACTGACATGAGCCTAGGCAAAGCAAAGTATAAGACTCAAAAATCCACATATTTTTGGAAATTCAGATACATTACTATATACAGAAAAATTCATATTTTCATATGATTAGTGGTAAATGATGAATTTGCAAATTGGTCTTCCTTGCCTCTGATCTTGTCCCCAGGACTTTCAAAATAAAATAAAATAATAAATAAATAGAATTAATACATTTGGAAAAGGGACACAAGTTTTCAAGGCCATAGAACTCCTTAACTCGAAACAGGTCAGACTTTAGATAGAATTTTTTTTTTTAATACAGAGAAAAAAATAAAGCTTCTTCAACTGAGGTTGTAATAAGTATTTTTGGTTACATTTTGTAATTAGGAACCTTGGTGAGAAAATCCCAAAACCTCTGGCAAAAAGAAAATAAATCTTAAGTAAAAGATTCAGTCTTGTGAGAGCATGGGAGGCATAACAGGCAGCAATGAGTCATGATGGATAAAATAAAGTAATTCAAATAGAAAAAGAACAGAATATGTTATTTTGTGCAGATAACAGCAAAACTTTTTTTTTGCAGCAATTATTATCCTCCTCAGGATGTGAAACTGCTCTATTTTTTTGCAGCAATTATTATCCTCCTCAGGATGTGAAACTGCTTTATTTTCATATCTGGGCAAGCAATGTATTTCCACACTAGAAGGAGCCTACCCATAGTCTCAGCCAAAGTTTTAAAAAAAAGAAAAAAAGGAAGAAAAGAAAATAATGAAAACACCATCATCTCA